GACAGGGTGAGAGTCATGGCGGGGAACCACGAGGTGAGGGACTAGAACCCGGGGAAAACCATACGAGAAAATACGGGACGGGAAAAGGGGAGACTGAAAACTGTGTGTGCGTGTGTGTGTGGGGGGGGAAGGGGGGGAAATGGGTTATAAAGCTTTGCCCATAGCAGAGTGTGTTTCGATCGACTGTGCTTGTCCGTGCCGCCAGGTTTTTAACACACATATATACACACACACACACACACGAGCTCGGCGGGTACGGCGCGCGGCCCCCACCACCACGCACCCGACGATACGGCCATGTCCACGTCCTTTAGCGCCGGGCCCAAAAAGTACGGCAAGGGGTCCCTGTACGGCGGGGAAGCAAAGCGAGCGCGAGCGGGGGGGGGGATACGGCCCCGCTTCAGACATCGCTAAATGGAATTTGATTGGCTTCTCTCTCTCTTTTTCCTAACACCCCCCCCCACGAGGGGAAACCCGGGAAAGTCACCACCTTGTGATGCAAAGCGCAAACAAATCAACTGCCGTCGTCCAGAGTCCCTCTTAAAGGGGGGGGTCAAGGACATATTTAACACGCGGGCGGGTGCCAAAATGCGTTTTCCAGTTAGGATGTCTCCCCCAAGTGTGTCTGTATGTCTGTAGCTGTGTATGCCCCCAGCTCCCCTCAATCCCTCCAACCCCTTCATTTACATTCAGCCCCGACCCCAACTCCCAACTCCCAACCACCACGCATACGGAACCCGTATGGCCCTCCATAACCCCACCCGCCCATTGACTCTTTCCCCCCCCCCACACACACACATACACACGTAAACACGTCCACTTCACTGCGTCACTTCCCCCCCCAGCCGCAACCCGCCGGGCCGTCCCGCGGTTTACCTGAACCACACGACGTCCACGTCACTATGTATGACGTTGAAACCCCAATGTACGATACGGCTAACGACCACTACCTTCCGCCACGTGGCGGCATTGTAGTGCTGGTCGCCGTACCTGCCGTGCAGCACATACACACACAACCAGAACCATACGTACCGTTTCACGCTCCTTGCACACAGATAAACATACAGGCGTTCTGGCGGCTTCGCCCATTTTAAAAGGATAAGTTAAGGGAAATCCAAAATGGCGCACATGGACACACACATACACACACGGGTGGTAAAGCGCTTCTAAGATGTAACAGCAAAAACATTTATCCGCTTACGGTATTCATCACAATTATACACGTGCGCACACACACACACACACACACACAGTCCGTTTGGCGGCTGATTGTCCTCCTCTCACTCTACACGGCTGTAGAGACTTCTCTCGGCTTCTTTCCTATAGGCCAGCAACAGCCAAATCGGGAGAACTGGTACGGGTACGGACAAGGGGCATACGGCTGTTCATGCTCTCGCCCCCCATCACCAAAATACCTATTTCCCCCACTTCCAACTCCACGCCTACCACCGCCTACCATCCCCTTACACCACCAGCACCACCCCACTACCTGTATTCATCGCTTCCGTGTGCGGCGTTTTCCTCGTAGAATCGGAAGCAGGGGTGCTTGCCTCGGTGACCCAAAAACTGGGGGGGGAGAGCACGGGAAGGGAGCGGGTGGGCAATGACGGGGGGAGAGGAGGGAGCCATGGGAGGGGGGGAGGGAGGGAAAGACGAACCATACGAACGAGTGAAGCTGCTGCCAGGGCAAGAGTGCACCAGGGACGGCGGGAGAGGAGGGCGGGAGAGGAGGCGGGAGAGGAGGGCGGGAGAGGGGGGCGGGAGAAGAATGAGGGGAGAAGAAGGGGGAAGAGGAGGGAGAGGAGAGCGACGGGGAAGAGGAGGGCGGGGGGATCCAGGGGACAAGAAACCCACCTCAGGGCTCTCTTAGCTAGGACGGGAGTGAAAGAGGCCAGCTGGCAGACTCTTTTAAGGACGAGGAGGGGGATGAGCGGGTTAAAATCCCGATAAGTAGCGGAAAGGGACACAAGTGCCATCTTGGACTCTTGCCATCCTCACACATCCATCCATCCATCCGCACGCACATACATACATACAAACATACATACACCCTCCTCCCTCCCCTCCCCATTACCTGCGCCGTCTTCACATCCGTAGCCCCCACCAGGTAGTAATCCACCCCCCACTTGGCGAGGTGCTTCATCCAGTTGATACCTGGGGGCGGGGAGGAGGAGGGGAGGAGGGGGGCAGGGGAGGAGGGGGGCAGGGGAGGAAGGGGGGAAAAGACGAACCACGAAAGGGGGGAAAGGGGGGGAAGGGGAGGTAAGACGAACCGCTGGCGAATGAGCAGGGTGGGTGGGGAGGAGGAAAAGGAGGTAAAAGAAGGGAAACTGCATCTACGAGATAAACACGCACATACACGTACACATGCACACACACTGGCCCATGGTTCCAACGTAAGGGACACATACACGGGCTCGCAAGTCCGACAACATGCACTCCATCCCGTTGTACACACTCACAATTGCTCCAAATCATTTCCACAAGCATCTCTTATCAACCTATAATACGTAATGCAGTTCCTGCTCGCAACTCATGGCTCATTCGAAATCCAAAATATACTGTACTTGCGCTAAAACACACCCACTTCCAAACCCGCACCACACACTGACCCATGGTTCCAAAGATACGCCAGTCCGCCACCGTCAGCATGATGGTGTTTTCCCGGGCGAATTGGGCCACGTGCTCGCGGGACAGCGCCGGACAGCCAGTAGAGGAGGAGGAAGGAGAGGGAGAAACAGCCGTTGCTTTTTCCGTCTCCTTCTGCGCTGGCGGCGGCCGTGGTGACGGCGGCGGCGGTGACGGCGGCGGTGGTGACGGCGGCGGTGGTGACGGTGGCGGCGGTGACGGCGGTGGTGACGGTGGCGGCGGTGACAGCGGCGGCGACGTGGCCAAAGCAGTCAGGTCCACCTCCACGTCTTCGTCGTCATAATCCAAAATGGCAACCACCCCCTCCACATCCCCCACATCCGCGTCCTCGTCATCATAGCCTACCTCCGGCTCATCCACCGCTGCCGCTGCGTCCCATCCACTCCCCCCATCACCTCCCCCGGCGGCGCCGCCCTTGCCGCCCCTGCCTTCCTCGTACTCCGCATCATCCACGACATTGTGTATGACATTGTTGCTCGTATCTACTTTGGGCTCCGCCTGCCCACCTTTCCCGCTAGCGAGTCCCTGCGCCTTGGGTTTTTCGGCGGGTTTCTGATCGGTTTTTCCTTGTTGTTGCTGCTGTTGCTGTTGTTGCTGTTGTTGTTGCTGTTGTTGTTGCTCTTCGCGGCTTTTCCGTAGCAAGTTGGCAAACTCGTGGACCGAAAGCTTCGAATCCCCGTCCTCGTCGTACCTGTGCCGTACACACGGGGAGGGTGGAGCCACAAGAATGTGCAGGTGGGGAGGGAGCTGCGCACCCTAACCCCGCCACCCGCCATACATACATACTACATAATACATACATACATACATACATCGGCACACTTCTGCCACCGTGTCACACACAGGTATTGTTAAGCGCCTTCAGACACGGAGGACACTTCATGCACAATGTACAATACACCATCGCCATCACACCAAAGATGACCTCCTCTCAATCCGCATCTCATCGCTTGTTTGTTTCTTGCATATACCCGCTCACACACGCACCACCCTTTTTTCCTTATCGCACTTCAAAAAGTCCTCAAGCAGGACGTGGTGCAGTGTCTCCACGGCCAGTTTGTCGCGGTGGCTGATGGGGGTGTGACTGCCTGAGACGTCCGAGAGCTGGAAGGAGGGTGGTGTGGGGGTTGTGGTGTGTGTGTGTAAGGATGGCCAAGGATGGGAAACACACGCAGCAAAAGTCAGGGAAACAACTGAACAAGCAACAAATAGCCCAAGTGCTTCAAGCGTCCAGACGGAAGGGGGTCACGAGGATGAGAGAGGAGAGGGGCGTATCGATGGAGCGGGGGGCGAGGGCATGACATGGAGGGTGCGACGAAGCAAAGACGATTGACGTGAAGAAAATACAGGAGGGATGTGGAGAGGTATTTATTCATGAGAAAATAGGAAGCCCAGAGCCGGACATGGAAGGAGAGGGATATGGAGGGGTTTAAGGAGCGCCAGGAGGAAGTGGAGGGAGGGTGGGTAAGACGAACTACTGACGGTTGATGCAGATAATAGCGGAAAAAGAGGGCGGGTTTTTTCGGTGGATGGGGGAAGAACAGAGTAAAAATTTCGAGGGAGAGAAAGGGGGAGAGAGAGAGGTATGGGTAGGATATGAAAGTCATGTTGGTGGGTTGGGATGTTGGTGTGTCCATGTTGGGAGGTTTGTGAACTGGATCGGCCAACGGCCGAAAAACTGATGGAGAGGGAGGGAGGCAAACAGGGGGACAAAGCGGTGCCAAACAAGAAAGGAGTTGTTTGGAAAGGGCTGGCTAGGAAACTGCTCAGTTGGACGATTATGCCTGACTGCAGCGGGGTAGGATGTAAGACTGCCGGACATCGGCGTGTCTTGCAGAAGCACACGGACCCGAGTGCAAGTCCATATCAATAACTCGTCCCAGGCAGACATGTTCCCAAGTTTTCGCTCCGCAAAACAGGATACTAAGCAGGGGAGCTGGGCTGCTTGGGGAGCTTGGGCACGCCAGACCACGACTAGAAACTAAAAGCCCATCCATCCAAAACGTGTGATAAATCAAACGCACGCGTGTTTGACAGTGCCCGAAAATGTATCGCCAGCCGATACAGTTTGACGTAACCGGCAGCATTCGAGTGCCCAGCGTGGGTGCCCACAGCTTAAACATACCTGTGGTAATTTTAAATGATGTGTGACGACGAGAACGTACAAAGCGATCGCCACGAAAAGCGTAAAGCCAAGGAATAAGACACGAGTGCCTGCCCTTGGAAGCACCATGTTGCCTTCTATAACCAATATTCAATTCACAAAATAGACTGTGCTTATTTAAACTATTTTACCAGATTTAAAATTCACGCAAGGTGTATCCGAAGCTGCAAACTACGAAATTATTCCCATGCGCAAGGCACGGTGAGTCCTTCACATGTAAGATCATATCATGATTGTATTAATCACAAAGCATGCGCACGATCTATTGAGCCATCGCGATAGCTCTGATGCCCTTCCAAGTTAAGGGGTTGGCTAAAAGCAAAGCGTAGAACCTACAACCCTGTGATACTCAATGCGCTAGATCATAACATATAGTTACTGACCAATTAGATCAACTTTGGTGGTTAGGTGTTTGTCGGGCATACTGAAGTTGTACAACCGACTGCAACGGCCAAGTTGAAACAGCCTAGCTAAGAGCCACCCGCATACTCTCCTATATCCAGCTGCTCCTTTGCTTTTCGCGAGCTTTGTGCTGTCTGTTAACATTCATTCCTGGATGGCACGGCTGACCACGGAGACGGCCCTCCATCACTGAATCGCTGCGTTCCGCTCGGTGCAGCTTCTAACTGGGCAGGATGCCCCAGTATGCAGCGTGTAAGCATGCGTGCTTACCTGCTGTTGTTTTTGGTGCTGTCGCGGCGAAATGCTACTGTGTGACGCATGGGCGCCGGGACAAGTTACGAACGGATCTTATAAAGTCCCAACCAATTATGAAATAACCCTACCAGGAACTGCTGCCTGTTACTGCCCAGACCTAACTAACGACAACGCATCCAACTGCAAGTGCGATACCAGCGATAAACGAGGTGTGCCACCGGCACGAGTAGCACATCGATCCCAGGTGTATGTGTGTGCACGCGTGTGTTCGTGCCTAGAGCACGAAGCGCTACGATAACCCCTTCCACAAAGGAAACCAACTATTCTCGGCCGTTTTTAGGACGTTTAAAGCAGCTCCTAATGTATTCCGAGACCGTCAGATAACGTATTTTTCTGGGCAATAAGCAGAAAATGACCAGCCGTGCTTGGATCAGCAATGCTTGGCGGGACGGCGGGTCAACCTAGCAGGGATCAAGCTGTAACAAATCGTGGGCTGCAAGAGGGGCTCTTCATCGTCCCTCTGCAAGTAGCTGCTGCCCCGCAGCTGTTCCGCCTGTCTGCCACGTTACATGTTACCGTCAGGCCGGAGGACGGCTCCCCTTGTGTGACGGTGCTACGGTGCAGCCGCCGATTGCTGGGGCCATGCTGCGCTCGAGCTGGGGGTTTGGCAGCTCGGAGGCAGCCTCGTGACAGCAGCCTTGTCCTTGAGTTTGCGTGGCTTCCCGCAACCAGCTGCTCAGAGCTGGGACTCGTCCACAGCAAAAACCTATATGTGCGACATCTAGCGCCGTGCTAAGGATGTTCCCTTATTAGGTAAAAGGGGTTGTCCCTGGTTGTCGGGTGCTGTCCGAGCCATGGTATAGGGTTTTTGCCCTGATACTTCTTTGGGGCTTATTGTGCAAATACAGTGTTTGGGTTGTTTGGGTTATGATGTCAGCACCGGTGATCTGTTAGGATCTACTGTAACATCTTTTAATCAGAGTAATTTTATGTGCCGTGATCCGCCCCTGTCCCCTGCTTACACCAATTCGGTCCATATTGACATGTGCGCTATCTGTGGCCGCTGTGCTTTTGGTTATGGGGCAAGCAAGCCTAGCCTACGTCAGGGCCAGGCGTAGGCCAAAGCATGCACAAAGGCAGTAAGCCATGCGTACACCGTAAGACACCGGAACAAAGGATTTCGTGGAAAAAGGAGGATTTGCTACCAGGGCCGCTGAATTCGCATCGTACAAAAGCATCGTGCTAAGGATTTTCACATATGGACCGGCATCCACCGACATGATTCATTAAAGCATTCAAAGCTCGTGTTCATTATAAGTAGAGGTTAACTGACTCTTTCGTGTTGCTGCTCGTTGCCTATGACCTGTGTCGCGTGCAAACGGAAATAGTTGTTTACCGCGCTCTCTCACCCAAGGGGCGCTACGCCAGCTTTATAGCGGAAATCAAACGCTTATTGATCGCCTCATAATAGCGACAGTCATTCATCCACGCGCTGCGGTGCAACGTAGGTGTCAGTTGCGAAAGGCCAGAGGTGAGCGAAAGCGTGTGACTCACAATAGAGAGCGCTACTTGGACCGGCAGAGTAGGACAGCACAGAATAGCTGTTGGCGCGTCTGAAGGTCGTCTGGGCACTTTTGTATGTAATCCTTCCGACAAGGGTTTGACGCGGCCCTCTCGCTTCTTCGGCTTCTCACGTTTTATGTTCCTGTATAGCTTTGATAGTCTGCACATAGTAACTTGTCAGAGTTGTAGGCTGAAGCAGGCTACGGGCTGAAGCTGGTTGTTGCAACTCAAGGCACCGATATTCATGTCGGTTCTGCTTGCCACCATTAATAGATCGGCACGTTCAAGCGACTCGCAATGACTTTCCAGTTATGATTGGATCACTTATCTTTCAAGCTGCAGCCTCACCTCCGTCAGCGCGGAGATACCATGTACCCTGCATAGATGGAACTTGCTGCTTTCGGCAACGTTACGGTATAGTCCACCCTTTCCCGTTACAACTGTTGAAAGGATGCGTTACCTCTGCTCATCTGTGCTGCATTTCGGTCGGATCACTTTTGGCGCGAACACGCGGGTGGTTTCCTCTACAACTATAGCTGTTGCTCTTGCTCAATGAAACATCCTGACCGAACGATATACTCTCGAAGTACGTGAAATTTTCAAGACGCAGCAATTAAGGGCAGATGCCTCGCTTTTATTCCTATCCATCCGCCTGACCGCCCACCCCCAACTTCCGCCAGCCCGCGTTTCGCAGCAGTCTATGCCCTTCCCTCTCCCTCACTTCACCCAGTAAATCACTCACTGGTACTCTGCCCCGTGACCGACCTCCTTCCACCTACACATACATTCACATTATCCTCCTTTTTATTCATTACATCATTCATTCATATGACCCTAACAGGGCTCCAGGAAAGGATGCGACAAGGGCGTACTGCTGCCTAAGCCCGTGCCGTACGGACTCGTGCAAGTGGGTTTGCTTCACACGCGTTACACGTTTGGATTTTCATCAATCGAAAACCCCACAACATTGCGTCAAAACAACTTGTCGTCGTCCTCGGGAGGTGTTGCCCGTTGCAAGTCACAGTACGGCCGCTTCACACCGTTAGCACCAGCTTGTACATAGGCCTTGAGGAGATGCGGCTACTGCTGTACGGCGCCACAAGTGGCAGCGTCAGCAACAGCAGCAACAGCAGCAGCGCTGGTTGTCGGCAACGCACGCGGTCTCACGCACCGACCTCCATAGTACGATTTTCGGCTGCTACCGCCCACACCGTGTCGAGGCTGTCGCGGCGCCGCACCGCCGCTGCCGCCGCGCCCGCCATCAGCACTACTACTGCTGCTGCTGCTGCTGCTGCTGCTGCTGCTGCTGCTGCTGCTTCCGCCGCTGGCAGTGGCTGCAGTGTCGTTATTTCCGCTTTTCCGGCAGCGTCTTCTTCGCGCTACCGTCGCCAGCGTATTGGCGGTGCGACTGCCGCTACTGCATTACTAGCACCATCCTACGCCGCCTTGCAGCCGCGGCAGCAGCGGCAAGTATCGAGACGTAGCCTCTGCTTGGATACTGCGGCATCCGCGGCTTCATTTTCCCGCATAGGTTTCGCTCGGATCGCGTGTTGCTTTGCTACTGCGCGACGGCATGGCGGTGCTCTGCACTGCCATGCGCGCAGTAGCAACAACAGTAGCAGTAGCAGGATCGCTCTTTGGCGGCCCCAGCTGCAGCCACGGGTGCAACTGCGGCGCCGACGGTGTACGGCAATGTATCATGGCATGGTGACGTCGTCACATGGAAGGAACGACATCGAGGCGCGAACGGCTCTGAATACGCTGCCGTCGCGCCGTACAGTGACGGCGGTGGTATCTTGTTTGGCAGCTGGCAGTGCCGATCCGGCGGCATCTGGGTTTGCTGGCGGCAGCCACCGCCGCCAAGGCCGCGGCAAGGGCACCAGGTACATATGGAGTACGTACGACAGTACGGCGAATGATTTTTTAGTTAAGGCGGCAGTTGAATTAGGGCTGTTTTCAATGCGGCTGCTGTTCTGTCCTGGATTCGGTTTGTGTATATGTATATATACGCATGCATATATGTATGTAAGTTTGTGTGTGTGTGTGTGATCAGTCTCTGAAGACTCACTGTCCACCTCGTCGTAGAAAGATGCGTGTGCGTGTGTGTTTTGTGCGTGTGTGTTTTGTGTTCTTTCCCGCCAAAAGAAGTAAGAGCGGCTCCTTTGCGGCGTAACCCCCAAACCAGGAGGTCACCCAAACCGGATTCGGTTGCACCCGCACCCGTACCAACCGCCGCGGCCGTTGGCGGCGGTGGCCGCGTTGGCGGCGCCTCCATCCACAGCTCCGGTCCCCCCCCGCCGTCAGCGGTGGCCTCGCCCGTACCCGCACCCAGTCCCCCCAGGGAGTTAACGCCCTCTCTGAGCGGCGGAGGCGGCAGTAGCGGAGGCGGTGGTAGCGGAGGCGGCGGTAGCAGCGCCAAGGGCTCAGTCGCCACGTCAGCAACTCGCAGATCCTCCTCCTCCTCCTCCTCACCCTCACCCTCCTCGACGTTGTCCGCGGGGGTGGCTCTTGCGACCCGTTCCTTGGACGACAGCAGCGATTCGGAATATTCGGTGAGCCGACCCCAACTGAAATCTGATGTATCATTATCATTATTAGCACATGATCATCATCATCATCATCATCATCATTATCCCCGCAGGGACCGACCGCCTCCTCCGACTCCGACTCCGACCCCACCTCAGTGGGGGGCACAAGGGGCGGGAACATCGTGCCCTTCACCCGCCGACAGCCCCGTGCGCTGGTGCTGGACTGCGCCTACCGCCCCATCAATGTGTGAGTGGCTGGGAGGGGCGGACTGACGGACGGACGGACGGACGGACGGACTAAAACATTGAGGGGATGGATATGTGGGGGTTTGGTGTGTGGTATGCTACCGGTGCTGTCCTCATCTGCTGTCAGGGCTGTTCGAGGCGGACATGCGCCGACCGACATACTAACTAACCAACTAATTAACTAACTAATTAACTAACTAACTACCTGTTTTCTTTGTGTGTTTTGGAGAGTGGGGAGGCAATGAGGAGGGGTCAGTTAGTGTAGAGTTGTCTTCCTTCAATTGTGTTTCCTGTTAGGCGCCGTACACCTTCCGTACATCTTCGCTGACCCCCTGAGCCTGTTTATCCCTTCCATCCCTTCGTGCCCTCCGTCACACAGTCTTACCTGGTACAGAGCCTTTCACTTCGACTACTTTGGAAAGGTAGGTAGGCCGGAACGAGTCCGGGAATGTATGTATGTATGTATGTGTGGTAGGCGGGGCTCCGAAACACACTCCGCAACTCCTGCAGCCCATCCAACTGCCAACTGGTCCAGCAAGACTGCCCTCCTACAGCCTCCTTGCCTTCTGCTCCGCCTCACGCACATCACTTACATGTCCTATTCTCCAGTTCGACTGATACGATTACTTCAAATGCCGATTTAAAAAGTGAGGAATCCTGACGTAGTAGTAGCTTAAATAGGCCCCCCGGGGATCCCCTGGCGGAGCGAATCCTTCCTGTGACTTCTGGTTAGCCAACTTACTTCTGGTTACCCTCTAACGCATACATACATAAACATATTTTTATACATACATGCATGCATACATACATACAGGGCGAGGTCCTGGAGTATTACCCGCCACCTGCTGTGTGCACCACGGGCTCGGGCGATCACCCCCTCCCTGCCGTACTGAGGGTACCGCAATACACGGCTGACATGCAGGTGCGTGTGTGTGTGTATGGGAGGGCGGGGGTGGGGTGAGGGAGAGGTGTAGGAGGGGAGGGGGAGGGTGTACCGGGGGGTGCGTCTCTGTACGGCAATACCTTGGATGGCAGGAATCCGGCGGCAGGGCGCTCTGGGGAAAAAGCACGAGTGGTACGGCAAGTGGTACGGCAACAGCCACGCCACGTGGGTCCTCGATGGGTTCCCCGCCACACGAAATAACCCGTGCGACCCCTCTCGTTACCCCGTTACCCGGGTGTCGTACATACCCTCTTTCCCTCCCTTTCCCTCCCCCTTTTTCCAGGATTTGTGTTCCCGTGTTGCTTGCACCCGCCGTAACATCATGGTGCGAGACGGCTTCTGCTGCCAGTGAGTGGTGTAGGAGGGGGGAGGCGGGGCGAGGGGGAGGGGAGAGTATGTGTGTATGTACGGGTAGATCTTGTCGTTGAAAGTATCTGGTTCATATGCTGCGTGGTGCGTGGTTCGCAAGAATTGTTTAGGCTAACCATCTGTTAACCCCCATCATCGTTCGTGATTCGTCTTTCCCCCCCCCCATCATCGGGCTTCGGGGTTGAATGCACCGCTCAAAACACACACACACATATTCCGTCCTCCACTTTCTCTTCCTGCACCACAATTTCCCTTTCCAAGTCCCATCCACCTCCAAATTACTAATTTTCATTTTGCCAGGTACTGCGGCTCCCGGCGGGATTTGACCCTGGATCACGTGCATCCTGTCAGTAAGGGCGGCAAGGAGACCTGGGAGAACCTGGTACGATGGATACGACAACGTAAAGTACGGAAAACGCTTACTTGAATGTGAAGTGCTATAACTCTGCAATTCCCTCAGGTTCCTCTTTTCCACCCCTTAGAAAACCGCTACCCCCGTTTCGAATATGATTTTTCTTTATCCTTTTGCCTTTAGGCAAAAGCTTGAGACCTGAGACTCTGCCTCCGCCCCGCCTGCACACCTTTCAAACCCCCACCCTCGCACAACACACCGACCACCCCCCTCTGATCTCCCAACAAACATACGTATCCGCACCATCGCCCCAGGTAACGGCCTGCATGCGGTGCAATCAGAAGAAGTCCGACCGCACGCTGAGAGAGCTGGGCTGGAAGCTGAAGCGGCAACCTAAGGTAGAGGTGATGGAGGGGTGGGTGATGGAGGGAACGGGGAGGAAGAGATTAAGGAAAATCCTAAGTGTGTGTACGCGCGTGTGTGAGTGTGCGTTTGTATGTATGTGATGTCTACTTGGGGGGGAAAGAGACCGGTACTGTGCTGTTCGCCATCATTCCTTCACACACACACACACACATATATACACACACATATATATACACACACATATGTATACACACACAGACAGACAGACAGACAGACATGTACATTTCCGCACAACAGCTCGCAGTAACGACTTCACACAAGCACGCGTGCCTGGGCGGATGTGAGCATCTGTCTCTATATCTGTGTGTGTATATGTGTACTGCAGGAGCCGACGCCGTACGAGATCGGCATCGTGGCGGGCATCTCCACATCCGATATTCTGCGCCCGCCACCGGAATGGGAGGCGTACATCGCGCCGTACAGGGAACGGTTGGAAATGTACCGCAGAGCGGCTATAGAGGCGGGGCTCGTTAATCTGATTGACGACGGTTGACAGTTGACAGTTCGGAGATATGAGAAGAAGTCGTTGGGAATCGATCTAAACCTAGGAGGCTCAATGATGAAATGGAGGGCTGGTAACGGTATCGTAACGGCCACACAGTGATGACCGTTGTCGTCGGTTGGTCAGTTGGTTAGGCAGTTGGTTGGGCCGCATCGGTCGGTGCATGAGGAGTTCAATTAGCAGGGTGTTGATTGCAATGCAGTGTCGAAGTGCACCACATTTTATCTTTGTGTTTGTGCATCTCTTTGTGTGGGCCCTGGGTTCGTGGTGGTTGTTAGTTGTTAGTTGGACCTCTGCGTGCTTATGCGTCCATGCATGCGTGGATGTATGTGTAGTATGTATATGTATGTATGTATGTGCCTCTGCAGACAGGTGTCTGCATGCAAAGGGAGAGCGATTGAGCGAAACACCGCTCACAGTACTGCTGTACTACATCTCTTGCTGTACATGTACACTATGTAGCAGCTGTAGCTTCGGTTCAGAATGTATGGCAACGAGGAGAGAGAGGGGTGTGGCTCAAATGTGTTTTTTGTTCTGTTACTGCCGACACGGGACACGGCCCGCACTCGTGCAGTCCTAAAAAAGAGGGGACAGTACCGAATGTCAGTGTCGGACAGAATACAGGATGAAGGCCATGTAGAGGAAGAGGAGGGGGATAGAACATTTATCGTACGGAGACAAAGAGGACGACGTTGACATGTGTGTTTGTGTGTCTGTATGTGTTGTTTTGTGGAGATTGAGACAGGAGGGGAGTGAGTCCAAGCGGAAGTCGGGCGGCATTGGATGCTGCTCTGCCGCTGCTATCGCGGCGGCTGTAGCTTCGACAGCTGCGAGGTGGGGCGGCTGCGAGGTTGAAATTATCCCGGAGGGAAACGGCTTTTCTTTGTGTGTTTTGGCACGCGTTTGTGCCGTGCCCGTGTTCGTGCACGCGTGCGTGTATTTGTATGTATGTCTGTGCATCCGCACGATACGCACGTTTTCTCCGGGACCGTTTGTCTGAGGGAGGAACTGTGTGTGCTGTATGTACTGGTGGTTTTAAAAGGCGGTCGTGGTCGTGTTGATGGGGAGGATGAGTGGGGGTGGGAAATCCCCGTCGTCTCCACGGCGTGTGGGAATGCAGTCTGCACAGAGCGCATTCATTGTACAATCCCAAGTGTGCTGCTGGCGCGGCGTTCACGGTTTTGTTGCTGCTGGAGCTTGCGCCTAGTGATTGTTGTTGGCGTTGATGGTGGTGGTGAGGTTAGGGGATCGTCACTTCAATCATCCGGTGCTTTCATGGGCCCTACAGGTTACATGTTATGTATGTATGTATTATGTATGTAGGCATGTTTTACACCTCCTAGAGTTGCGTTATTACTCTTCATTAAAAGGTGTAGCTCTCTTTTACTTCTTTGCCTATGTTTTTTGATGACTTGTGTGGCCGGTCGTGGGGTAGTGCCAGGGTGTGGAAGTCGACAGAGAGTCAGAGAGAGATGGACAGTGCCAAAGATTGCAACGTTAGATGTCTGCTGTCAACAACAACAACAACAAGATGTCTGCTGTCAAGCGGTTGGGCACGGGAGAGAAAAGAAGAACGGCGTGCGTTTTCAGTTATTTGTTAATATTCATTATGTGCTCATCTGCTGTCAGCTAGCTTCCATGATGCTCCATGTCGTACGTGTCATGTTTGTGTATGATCATCGGAGGAGAAAGACAATCAAAAGCGGTTAGGTAACCCTCTTTCCCACGTTGTTAACCAGTCTCTCGCTGAGGAGAACCGCTGATGATGTGAACACGCCCACATGTTTATAAGTGTGCAACCGGACCTAACAAATGGCTTCAAGTGTGGATAACCGGAAACTCACGTCCAGCACGTCTTTTGGCTTTGGGGTTGATCCTGCCACTGGGCAACGAGGGAGTTGGCGTGAACCCAAGTGAGACCATACAAGCGAGGTAGGTAAAGGTAGCAGTTCGGCCTCAGTACGGGTCCGAGCTCTAATCTCGCGTATGGCGTTCGGGTGATGACAAGTGTTCGGTGGTGGTAAAAGTGCTCCAAGCCAAGGGGGAATAAGACCGGGAAGGGAATCATTATGGTATCCGGCGTAGACCACCTGAACGTTCCTGGATTGGTGAAGCAGGGAATGATGAACCAAAAGGATGGGCAAAGCAGGGTTGATTGAGGTTTAGGAGCCCGCAAATCACCTTGTGCCTCCAGCCGCTTGAACAGCGGCACGAGGGCGTTGAGGCACTGAACTTGCAAGGTCAAACTTATCTTGGAATCGGTGGTCGAAGCCTCCAGGGCAACGTGCGTCCACAGCTAGATTGTCTGAACGTTAACTAATAATTTAACAACACCAGGGCGCTGGCTGCAATCCGGCTGAGCCCAACGACGGTCTACTAATAACCCACAAAGGTGCAAAATAGCCAATGTCTCCATTCCGAATTTTATGATATTCATAACAGTATAACGACATCAAGATGCTGGAGCCTGGACTATGTTGGAGGACCTTTACACTACGTACTAACTGCCCCAACGACTCCGGCAATTTGTGTCCCCGCCTCCATCGTTGCAAGTGCCCTTGTTGGATGTGCTGGTACCACTATAGCTTTCTAGGCGAAATTGATGTTTCCTAACGCCTCTTGATGGCTTGAGTTCTCAGTCTCACAGCAGTTGTAATTATCTACTTTTACTTCTGCTTTTTCTCTCTTTTCGTCTGTGTCCTACCTTAGGACACCTGAAATTTCAAGAATTTTGTGAGCCAATCCTAAAATAATACTCCCTACATAACGAGGCACGCTTGACATTTCTGAAAGTAGTTTGAGAAATAGCTTTGATTGTTGCGTGTCGCAAGCAGCAAGCTCCGGTCCTGGTTGACGAGCTTTGACCTAGCCTACGTAAAGCGGCCGTCGTCGACTCCAATAAAATGGGTCAAGCCGCGTCAGAATTGCAACATGTGGCGAATCAGCTGCAAGGCATGGGCCCTGACGAGAAGAAGTTCATTCAGGTTGTATGGTTGGGGTACGGGTTCGGGACTGATTCCGCATCTGTTCGCCACCAAAAGCACGTGTGCTTGCAAAGTAACTTCAATTAGAGACATCATCATCACGCCGCGTGGATATCGTCTAAAGATCGGTGCTTTGGGGTCTTGCAGTCCGTGTTCCAAGGCAAAATGGAGGAATCTAAAGCGGCGCTTCTGGAGAACCCAAACGTGATCTTCGCGCGCACACGCGACTGGTACAATGCATGGCATTTAGCAGCTCGGGCGGGTAACATGGAGGTGAGCTTGAGCAGGCTTTTGAAACTTGGTGGAGTATGTGGGTGAGGGAGGGATGGGGACAGGGGTCGGGGGTTTGGGGGCCAGCGGAAGGAGCCACAGGGGCGGTACAGAAATACCAACTTTCGATGGTGTCATGCACTTTACACATAAAGCAATTCTTACAGCGGAGGCAGAATGGCGACCAGTGCTTGCAGCACACGCCGGGGCCTTAAGCAGGCTCGGCAGAAACTCCACTCCATAAAGCACTCCTTACAGCGAAGTCAGGACAGCTACACAAGTGCTTGCAGCTCACGCCGGGGCCAAATTATCCTTAAGCAGGCTCGGCAAGCCATGCCAGCGTCACCAGCATAGGGCTTCAGCAGGCATGTGAATAAAAAGTATCATGGCGCTGTACATGGCGTTGTCGTGCACAAGTTAGCATGCCCAAAACACGTCCATGCGTATCGGGTTACGGCACGAAGAAGGGTCATCCTCTACATGTAAAGCATCTATCCATCATATGTTCCCCGTGCCATGCGAAACCCGTCATCATCCCCGCGCCCCCACACCCACACCCACACCCGCATTGCTCCCCCGTGCATGGACGGCGACACACGACGTTCCGACACGTCGTCCATACACACACACGCGCGTCCCCTACCCATATCCCTCTGACCCAAATCGGGGCAGATGCTGGATATGCTGGGGCAGCACGGCAAGAAGGGCAGCGCCACACGTAAGCCCATTCCTGGGGAGCCTCCGCCGTACAGCGCCAAATCCAAAAAGGGGCAAACACCGCTCATGCTGGCTTGCGAGGAGGGGCACACGGAGGTGAGGCGGCGGCGGCGGCGGCGGGGGGGGGGAGGGGGGAGGGGAGTAATCGGAGGGTCACGGGCATGTGGGTCTTCCCGTGAACCACCGTGTGGTTGGCGGGAAAGGGCAGTTCTGGCGGCGTGTGGTGTTCCCCTAGTTTTCGAACCTGCTAGCTTTCTCTTCCCTCCCCCCCCTCCCCTTCACTCGCTCGTGGTTCATCTTTCCCCGCCTTCCCCCCCTTCCCCCCCTTCCCCCCAAAACACACGCAAACACACGCAATTCCGAGATTCCCCCTTCCCCACCGCCACTACCGCACATGCTTGGGTGAAGTCCGCGCCCGCGTCCTCTTGCCTCGTCCTTAACCCGTAGCCCCCCTGCCACACGTCCCCACAGCATTCGCATTGAACCCCCTCCCCTCTCCCCCACCCATACCTCCCCCCCCACACCCCGGCCCCTGGACCCCTACGGCAGTTGGTGCTTTGCCTACTTTTCATTTGCATGTCCTCTAATTCCCGCATCCCTCCTCTCCCTTTCCTGCTACTGTATTTCCCGCTACCCTCTCCCAACCCCCAACTCCCAACTCCCCCGGTTCCCCAATGCGTTAAGGCCATGCTGGCTCTCCTGAACCACGGAGCAGACGTTCTGGATATTGATTCGTACGGCAACACGTGTGTTCATTACGCGGCGTATCGAGGACATGTCAAAGTGGGTGGTGGAGGTGGAGGTAGTGGATGCGCCGGCCAGCCAGGTTCCCCCGGGGGGGGGTGCGTATTGTGTGGTGGGGCGGGGTGGGGTGCGGGGAAAGACGAACCAAGCTGTCGATTGAAGTCAGATACAAGAGATAAGAGTGCGGATACGCCAGGATTAGACACAGATACATGCTACATCAGGAATAGTACTGTATGGTGGGGGGTTGGGGGGAAAGACGAACCACACGCGATTTAAGCTGCTGCCAGAGCAAGATAGTAGCAACCGAAAGAACTGACCGAAAGGCGTCCGTGGCGACTGTGACGACTGTAACCTCGGGATGACGACTGTAACCTCGGGATGAAGAATTGACGTAGAAGTTGGAAGTCCTACCTACCTAAGCCGCCAGAAATATTATAGCCAAACCGTAAACTATTATAAACAAACCGTAAACTGGGGGGAGGGGGCTGGGAAAGGGTTGAAGGATAATGATGTTGATGATGATGATGATGATGTTGATGATAATGATGTTGATGATGATGTTGATGATGTTGATGATGATGATAATGATGTTGATGATGATGATGTTGATGATAATGATGATGATGATGATGATGTTGCAGTTTATGCACCGAAAGCGACCCCTAGCTGGCACACATACCAGTATGTCAGCCGCCCCCTCTCCCCACACCGCGACACACATACATGCATACACATACATACATACATGCATACACGTATCCTGACCCCGTGCCGACCAGATTCTGGAGCTCCTGCTTGCGCGGGAGGACGCCAGCGGCCGTGGCGACAAGAACAAACGGTGGGTTACGTGTTAGGGTTTTATGTGGGGTGTTCGGGTGGATGGGGTGTCAGGGCGGGTCATGGCTGTGAGGGTGTTGCTGGTGTGTGAGCCAAGGGCACGCTGAGGAGTTAGTTGGGTGTTTCCGTTGGAGCAGCCGGAGTCGCTTGGGAGGTGGGGAGGTTCACGAGCATCTTGGCTTGTTTGGGCCGTACGGCGGTACAAGCTGAAGGAAAAGCTTGGTAATCAAATCAATCAAATGAAAAAGAGGGTTGGGGAGAGGGGCCAGGAAGTTGAAGTCGAAGCTGCATTTACCGTCATCCCCCCGTCCTTCCTCCCAACACGGCCATCACGCACCGCCACCATCTCAGTAACGGCCACGTACCGCCATTTCACAGAAAACCCCGAATTCACCAGCAGCGCCACCTCCATTTCGGATTGCCATCCCCGCGCTGTCTTCATTCCCGCCACCGCCTCTGTCTGTCTGTCTGTCTGTCTATCCGCTGCCACCCCCACCCCCCCTATCCGCCGCCAACACCAACACCGCCACCACCACCAACACCACCACCACGACTCCTCAGCTACACCGACCTCCGCAACGAGGCGGGCCTTATGCCCCTCCATTTCGCCGTTTGGGCGGGCAAGCGAGATGCCGCCTCCACACTTGTGGCCGCCAAGTGCCGCCTCAACGCGACCAGCCACTCGGACAGGTGGATGATCCGTACGTGTGTGGGAGAGGAGGGGGGAGAGGAGCGAGCGGGGAGAGGTGGGCGGGAGATGAGGGAAGGAGGGAGAGGAGGGAAGGAGGGAGGGAGAGGAGGGAGGGAGAGGAGGGAGGTGCGTGCGTGTGTGTGTGTGCCCGTGTACGTGTGTGTAGCCTTTCATCACGAGGGGCTTTAACGTGGTGTCTTTGCCGGCCCATCCACGCTTTCCTCTCCGCCACACCCCTGCCACACATACACACCCTACACACCCCTGTCACACCCCTGTCACACATACACACCCCTGTCACACCCCTGCCACACATACACACCCCTGTCACACCCCTGCCACACATACACACCCCTGTCACACATACACACCCCTGTCACACCCCTGTCACACCCCTGTCACACATACACACCCCTGTCACACCCCTGTCACACATACACACCCCTGTCACACCCCTGCCACACCCCTGTCACACATACACACCCCTGTCACACCCCTGTCACACCCCTGTCACACATACACACCCCTGTCACACCCCTGTCACACATACACACCCCTGTCACACCCCTGCCACACATACACACCCCTGTCACACCCCTGCCACACATACACACCCCTGTCACACCCCTGCCACACCCCCTCACACCCCTGTCACACCCCTGTCACACATACACACCCCTGTCACACCCCTGCCACACCCCTCACACCCCTGTCACACCCCTGTCACACATACACACCCCTCACACCCCTGTCACACCCCTGTCACACATACACACCCCTGTCACACCCCTGTCACACATACACACCCCTGTCACACCCCTGTCACACATACACACCCCTGTCACACCCCTGTCACACATACACACCCCTGTCACACCCCTGCCACACATACACACCCCTGTCACACCCCTGCCACACATACACACCCCTGTCACACCCCTGCCACACCCCTGTCACACATACACACCCCTGTCACACCCCTGCCACACATACACACCCCTGTCACACCCCTGCCACACCCCTGCCACCCATACACACCCCTGTCACACCCCTGCCACACCCCTGTCACACATACACACCCCTGTCACACCCCTGCCACACATACACACCCCTGCCACACATACACACCCCTGTCACACCCCTGTCACACATACACACCCCTCACACCCCTGTCACACCCCTGTCACACATACACACCCCTGTCACACCCCTGCCACACATACACACCCCTGTCACACAACCCCCCCTGGCAGTTTGGGTTTGGTGACCTGCAACGCGGGGTCCACCGCGCTGCACCTGGCGGCCATGAGGGGCAGCTTGGAGATGGCCACGTTCCTCATGGAGACCTGGGCTACGGTGGGGAGGTTGGGGGGGGTGGAGGGGCTTTTAGAGGGGCAAGTTGAAGTGAGGGATTTGGGCCCTTCTTATGTGGTTGGCCACAGCTTTCTCTCTTTCTCTCTCACGCGCACGCGAGGCAGGCGCGAAGCGCGCTGCCTTCGCGGTCTGCGATGATGGTGGTGATGGTGGTGATGATGGTGGTGATGGTGATGGTGATGGTGATGGTGATGGTGATGGTGGTGATGGTGGTGATGCGCATGAAAACAAACCCACGCTTCCTCTGCTTTTGGCTGTACGGCCGTTTGACCCCCTGGCATTTGAATTGTCGAGCGCGCGCGCATGCGTCCGCCGCTGCTACTCCGCCCTCGTGAACACGACATGAATGGAGACCGCTGTGATTTCCGCCCTGCGGCAGGGTTGCTCTTGCACCAATACCCTATGATGATGGGTTTTTTTACCTCCTTGCCATTTCCTCCTCGCGGCTATCATTGAGGTCATGAAGACGTCAGGGTGGCCTCCGTTGTGTTGGTTGTGTGTATATATATGTGTGTGTATGTGTGTCTCTCTCTCCCTCCCCTCGTTTGCTCGCAGATGAACGCTCAGCCGCAACGCAAGAAGCCCGTCAAGGACCCCCGGACGCTGTCCGATCACTACGGCTTTACACCCCTTCAGGTGCGGAAGGGGACAAGATGGTGGTTGGGTGGGTGGTTGGATGGGTAGTTGGGTGGGTAGTTGGATGGAAGGTGTAGTTTGGTGGATAGTTTTGAGGGTGGGCGAAAGCATGGGCTTAAGCTTAGTGCGGTGTGCGACAGGGTGGCTTGGCTTCGGAGCTATGCTATGATGAGACTCCCCCTCCCCCTCAAATGCGACATGTAGCTACAGACGGGCAGACAGACAGACAGACAGGCAGATCACGTCAAACAGCAGATAGGCCAATGGCATTGGGGATTGGTCGCCATCAAGGTCGTGCTAGTTAAGAAATCTCGTCTGATACAGCGCAGTTCATGGAAGAGGCAGATTGTGTGTCTGTGGGTTGGGCTGCTTAAACTCTTTCTTTTCGAGTCCTTCTGAAAAAGGCACGTCGTACGGCGTCATTAGGTCGTTGGTCATTAGGTCAAGACCAGGGAGCTGGTCAAAGCCCCCCCCCTTTCCGGCCACGTTCACCTCTCCCGTATGTACGGCAATATCCCCGGTCCCAGTAACATCCCCCCGGAACCCCCCCGCCCCCCCCC